CTACAAAAATGGGGCTTCCCGGACCTTTCTGAGACTCATTTCCATGATTGCCCTTTGGAGAGAAAAGGATTCTTCATCTTTCCAGAAGTGACTGTTCATTCAGGACTCCGAGCCCCTTCCTACTGATGAATCAGGCAGCCTCATCAGGATCTGTGTGCACCAGCAGCCCCCCCGCTGGAGCTGCCTTCAGTATGAAGACCAGACCGCTGAGATCCCTTTCTGACACCCATTTATTGACTCCAGATTCCAATGTCTGCATTCATGAAGCATTGTCGGAGAGGGGCCGTGGGGATGCATGCCCTCCCCCAAACATCCTGGGTGGGAAAATGACAGTATTGGCAGAGACTACATATGTCGGAAAACATAAGCCGTCATTGCTTTGGTTCTGTGGGGATGTAAGGGTTAGAGATATACCAGCGAGCTGAGAAAGAAACTACGAGGCTGGATGAGATGGGACAGGGAGGCATGGCCCGTTGTCTCTCAGGCTTTGGAGAACCCTTGCCCAGGGGTGTTTCAGGACCACGGACAGCACACAGCTCCGGGGTCCAGCGTTCCCCTACTACCTGGAACCTTGGACTTTCAGAACTGTGTATAGATTATTCACTTTGCTGAAGTGTCTCCCTTCTCCTCCATTTTTTGGCTTCATAAATGTCTCATATTTCAGAACCCAGCTCAAACGCCCCCTCCTGGATGATGGAGCCACTGTCTTTCCTTGTCGTCTCTGGAATAAGTGTTGGTTCTTCGCCGTTTTCAAGATAGGGTTGCCAGACTAGTGATTTTGGGGTGAGTGTTGGTTTGATGAGGAAAGCACCTCTCTTTTCTTCTGAGGCTCCCCAGACCTTAACAGATTTTCTGTTCCTCTGACTTTGTGGTGGAGATGGCAAATTTTATTCCCACCGTGCAGTGGGAGAACAGCCCTCAGGGAGGTTTGGTGCTTGACTCAGTGATAGACAAGGGTGTCAGAAATTCCCTAGCTGAGGCCGACTGTGCAGTGCTCAATCTAATAGCTAATGTTTGTGAGGGGAACAGGGGCAGCTGCCAGCCCCAGCTTTCTCCTCCCAGCTGGGGCCGGAAGGGCAGTAATAGCAGGTTTGGGGAAGAAGCTCTCTCTTCCTCGGGCTTTTCCTGACGCACAGGGCAGTTGGCAGTAGAGGCACCGTCTCTGCCCAGCCCCGCGGGTTAGGTGGGCGCCTGGCGAGAAGGCCTTCCAGCTGTGTCGTGCAGGCTTCGCACTAGGCAAGCTTCTAGCCCCAGGCAGCGAGCTTAGGCTTTCGGGGAATTTTAAAAGCAGGAAAGAGAGGTTTCCGATTTGTCGATCTACTTTTTTCTCTTTGTTTCTTTCCTGCCTTTTTACCTCTTTCTGCTGCTTTTCCTTCTCTTTACTATTTTTTTTAACCTCTTCTTTTTTCTCACTCTTTTCAAACATTCTCTTTCTTCTTCCCTCTTTTCCTGCCTCCTGTCTGTCACCCCTCTCTCCTCCCACACAGCAAACATTTGCCGAATACAGTGCAAGGCCCCTGGTGGGGCCCTGGGGATGCACGATGCTCCCTGGCTGGGAAGGAATGTCCCAGCCCAGCGGCAGATGACCATGTGAACGACAACTATGCAGTGCGATGCGTATCGTAGGAGAGGGGTGTGCAAGGGGCAGTGGGGACATGGGGGAGGCACCCCGAAGTCTCTGCTGGGGCGAGTCAGTTACTACCCAAAGTTCTCCTTGCCCTAGAATTACCACCATAGGGAGAGTTTGGTATTTTGCGTTTTCACCTACCATTTTACTGTTCGTCACTTTTGTTTGTTTTTAAAAATTCTTGGGAAGTATTTTGGTAGCCGAAGGAGACCCCATTCGTGGTGTGCTTATACGACTAATTAATTCTGGATCACATCTTTGCGTCTAATTCTTTGACCTCGTTTGGGGCATTTTCGTGCGGACAAATTCCTAGCACTAGATTTCTAGGTCAAAAGTCATGAACGGTGTTGAGGCCCTTGCTACCTTTTGCAAACTCGACTGGCACTTACTGTGAAATCCCAGCTCCAAGGAAAATGTAAAGATGATCAGTGGCCCTTGATCCACTCGCATGATGTCTTAGATCAGAAACGTCTGTGGTTTGTGATCTTCCCTGATGAACACCTTTCTGTTACATTGCGACCAGCTCAGGCTCCCTTTTACGCATGGCGTAAGAGTCCGCTAGAGTCCCCATGAGCTGGCACCTTCACACCTCTCCACCTTCCCCACTGAGGTCATGAGGACACAGCAGGCGCCTCGACCTCTGTGCCTCGCTCCGAGCATCCTCTCCTGCAGGCTCTCTTCTTCGTTGCCATGTGGCTAATCCCTACTCATTCTTCAGGCTCAGAACGAGCATTATTATTCCCCCAGGAGGGCTGGAGGCCCCCTCGGTGTTCCCGCCAATCTCTGCCCTTCCCATGCTGGGGCCCAAAGGCCTGGTGATGGCTCATTCTCCCCCACTGGCCCGAGAACTGCTTAAGAGGAAGAACTTTCTTATGGCGTCATCTCTTCCTTCTTTAAACAAGTATTCGCTGAGTGCAGTTCCTGCTACAGCAAATGGCAAGGAATAAGCAGTGTGTAACTCTGCCTGTGGCTTACACGTGCCAGGCGTGTGCTAAGCACTTTGCACACCTACCCCATGGAGTTCTCTTGGCAACCCTGTGAGACAGGGACACTTGTCCCCGTTTTACGGATGAGGAAGCAGAGGCGAGGAGAGGCTAAGTCACATGGACAATAAGCGGGCAAGGATCAGAACCTGCGTCTGTCTGACTGGACATTTCGTTTGTATACAACACCGATCCAAGGACGTGAGCCATGCTGAGCACAGTTTATTTTAGGTCACTGCCATCACTGTGGCGTGACCTGGCAGTCTCTGGCATACCCTAGCTCTTAGATTTCTGTTGGATTTTTAATTAGCTGTTTTATTTTCCTGGGGAACACACAAGATACCGTCTGTGGAAAAGTCTCCTTGTCAATTTTTTCACAAAACAGAAGGATCTAAGTTTGGAAAATATGTAAGCCTTACGCATGAGCAGAGTAAAGGATCTGGACATTCCTGTTGTAAAGACAATCTTTGCTTCTGTTTAACCCAGAATTTTCTGAACTCGGTACATCTGGGAATCCCCTGCTGAGACATCTGCTAAAACTGCCCTCAGCTAGAGTTCCAAGGGACATGGCTTTGAAAATGCCAATGAAAAGGCAAAAGCACTACTAATTTTAAGAAAGAAAGTGAGCAGGTCCCAACAGTGCTTGTTGCATTGTTAGGGAGCGTACTGGCCTGAGCATGCGCAGAGCTTGGCTCCCTGGCAGAGCCCCGCACGGTATCTGCTGGGAGCTGAGAGCGGAGCTCTGCACACAAGCTCCGCCACCCAACTCTGGGGAGAGCAGAACAGGGAGGGGCCGATCTGGCTCACAGCACATTTAATACCACCTTTCAGGCCGAGCCTGCGAAGCCCTCTATTAAATGTGACAAGGCAGGCGGCTCCCTGTGGGAGGCCGTGTCCCAGCAGCTGCTGACAGCTCACGTCTCTCTGCTTCCCGCACGGGGATCCTGCATGCCAGCTCGTCTCTGCTCCCGGACACTGCAGAGCCTGTCCCTCCTCTTTCCCGTGGTCCTGGAGTAAGAGCGTCCTCCCTGGGGGCGTGTACATCCTGGCTAGCTTCTGAGAGAGAAGAGGCAGCTGCTGGGCCTGGGAGCGACTGAGCTGAGAGCCCCTTCCTCCAGAGAACTTCCTGCTGGGGAAGAAGATGTGCGGTTCATACTTCTCTTCCTTGGCTCATGGCCACGATGCCTTTTCTCTTTATCTTCATCCGTTCATCCTTCAAGGATCAATTAAGGCATCCATCCATCCATCCATCATCCATCCATCCATCCATCCATTCATCTATCCATCCATCATCCATCCATCCATCCATCCATCAATCC